TGTCAATACTGTAGAAAGGAATTCAGATATCCCTCTATTCTTAAAAGACACTTGAAGTTAAAAAATATGTGTAGTGAACAGTTTAATCAGATCAATGATTGGGTTAGTCTAACAAGTGATCAGGTTAGCCCAACAAGTGATCAGGTTAGTTCGATAAGTAATCAGATTAGTCTTACAAGTAATCAGGTTAGCTTAACAACTGATCAGATTAGTGAAAAAAATACTGTGCCTATTCGGCTAAGTCTTGCCTAGACACGTATCTGAAAAGTATATTTTTTTTGGATATTTAGATTACTCTTTGCATCTTCCTGCTTTTCAGTCCAGAATTCAGTGTCGTAATATGAAAAATATGAGCTTAGTTCTATTGTCGCATCACTTCTAACATGAGGGTTATAAGAAATAATCTTATCATTGAGAGTAATAATCTTTAAGTCTTTCGCAAAAATAAAATCCTCCAAATCTTTATATACAGACTCACCAGTCTTCTTTATATCCCGTTTTTCATTCTTAAGCTGGGAAATAGTAGAGAATAATTTGCTGATCTCCCTATCTTTTTTGATTATAGATTTATTCAAAGTAGAGATACGTGATTTATATTGCTTCTTTAGCTCAGCTGAGTGTGAATTATGCTGGAATTCCAATTGATGTTTAAATGAATATGTCTTTTATTTTATATTTACCATGTAATTATTATATTCACTCTCTTTGCGAGCCATAAGAGCATCATATTCATCTTTTAGACATTTGCATTCCTCAGCAATCTGAGCCTCAATAGTTTTCTTAATATTATTCTCCCATTGCAGTACATGAAGCTCACGTTCCTCTAACTGTTTTTCAAATCCATCTAATCGGGATAATGTACTAAAACCATCAGAAGAGGTATTAGCTTCAATTTTAATCTTCTGTCGATTTTTTTTGTTATGATATCTATTAACCTCTTTAGTAAGCAACTCTTTAATATCTGGATGGATACCCCTAATCTGCTCCTCAGATAATGGTTTATTTTTGCAATTTGTAAGGTGTAACCACACATCCTTTTTCATAGATAAGGGTAATTGGTCAAGCAAATTCTTATAGTATTCGTTGAAATTGCCGATAGACGCTTTGCATGGTTGGTTGGACATATGTTTGATTATGCTTTAGCACCTGGTTTGAAGAACCCCTCTGACTCGACAAGGTAAATGATATAGTCTTAGAAGACTGATTTATCAGTCGGAAAAAATTCCTGAAAAAAAAATATTCCAAGGATTCCAAGAATTCCATATTATCCTAGAAGTTTGGATATTTCTTATGTTTCTAACAAAATTTTCCGGCTAGAATTGGCTAAAAAAATTTGCTGAGACCTAGATTCCAGGAAAAAAAATAGAATATTCTCAGAAAATTATTTTGTTTAACATATAGAGACGAGATCGCAAATTTGTCAAGAATTTTTTTAACTGATGCACTTGCTTTATTAATAATATAACTTATTAAAAATACATGTATCAAATCACTATTCTATGAACTTTTAGGAGTTGAAACTATTACTACCATTTCACTAGAACTATGCTCACTATCTCCAGAGTCAGAACTATATAATATTTTGTGAATTGTACATGCGACGGCCATTCTCATCGTCATTAACATATGTATAAGTGAATATACAGCATTTGAGGAAGTCATATATAATGGAATTGTCGCTTTCTCTATTAAACAGTATTTATAAATACCCGATTCTTTCTGCATAGCATAAAGTTCTATAATATCACCTGCCATTTTATATGAAGTAAATATGGTTAAATATCATTGATTGGCAAAAAATGTGAAATAAATTAATATATACCGGCAACGTTAATGGTAAATATACTCAAATTCTGTCTCTTAGATGATTAATTGAATATTCTTTTAAGCTTCGATACATTTCTTGTAGTATCAATAGAGTCTGGAAAATAGAACCTACTTTTTGTGATCTCGTTGTCGTTTGTCTTGGGTGGAGTTTGGTCTACCAGTTTCTAGATATACAATTTCAAGCTCTACACTCTTTCCTAGTTGTACTATAGTTATACAGTCAGGCTTTCGTGCAAATTTACGAGAACCTTTCCATATAGCGCTAGCTGAGCTCTCTTTCTTATCCTATTGAAAAAATATAATCATTATACTATAATACAAAGTAAGGTTCTGAATTTGAGCTAATCCATATCTGGTTTTAACTTACCATATATCCCATACAATAGGATTCTCAGGTAAATCGCTTAACACTATATTTATTAGAGATGCAAGTACTTCGCAAATATATGACCTTTCATTAACCGGTTTTCTTTTCTTTGAATAGGCTTCGTACTTGAGTGATTTCCAGACTTTAAGCCTGTAAAGAATTATTGATTGTTAGAAATTTGATCATCTCCTACGAAAAAATATAAGAACTTACAATGCTTCTAGTATTTGTCTAGACATTATTTGAAGTATCTCAGGCTTATCTAGCCATCTCCCATATTCAATATTATTCAAATCATCATCCACATTAATCTTCGATTTTTCATTATGGATGAACTCTTTACAAACATCCATTATGATATTGTTCTGATCTAACTTATATTTTTGGAAAGGTTCCTTAAAAACATCACAAAATGATCCAGGCATCTTCGTAAAAGGTTCAGATCTAATAT